CAGCAGATGAAACTGAATACAAAATAAAACTTTGTACAGGAATAGCACACACCAACTTTACAAAATACACATGAGAATTTCTTTGTTATAAGTTTGTGTGCCAAAAACAAAAAAACCCCACAATTTTACTCTAATATTTAGCAGAGGTTGGCGGTGAAATGGCTACGTAGAAAGTGTCAAAACAACCTTAGGTAAATAGCCCGTGATGTCTACTTTATATAAATATATACTTTTGTTTGGCAATTTGGTTTTCTTTTATGGCTATTAAGCTTACAAGACAAACATACCAAATTCTAAAATCGCTCCACATTAAAGGTTTAGTTTACTCCTTGTGCTTTGTGACCTGTAGCTACCAAAAAAAACCTTAAAATCCCAGATACGTTATATATGCTGTAAATCAGAACAACTAAATAAATTTATTTTTAATTACTTTCCTTAACCTGCACTACATCAAATTCAAGCCCTTTCTGTCCTTTAAAAAACGATATATAATATGTGTCGGTGCAATAAATTTGTAGGTTTAGTTTACTCCTTGTGCTTTGTGACCTGTAGCTACCAAAAAAAACCTTAAAATCCCAGATACGTTATATATGCTGTAAATCAGAACAACTAAATAAATTTATTTTTAATTACTTTCCTTAACCTGCACTACATCAAATTCAAGCCCTTTCTGTCCTTTAAAAAACGATATATAATATGTGTCGGTGCAATAAATTTGTAAAATGCAAATTGCAGTTGAACGTAAACAGCAAAAAATGAAAAAAATGCTCTTGTCATTAAGTGAAAGACAAGCTTTTGAAGCTCTGTCCTTAAGTGGTTAAAGACTGAGCCAAATGTACACGTTGTGATAAAAACAAAACGTAAACAAAAACTTTAAATTGTGCTATATGGCTATTCAGGCGTAATTCACCATATTATGTGCACCCACACTTATTATATATCATTTTATTCAGGGGAAACGGGGCTTTCATTTAACATTAAATATTTAGATATAAAACATAATTTAATATGAATAAAATGTAAAAAAAATGGGAGAAAATAAGAATTTAAAAATTTTTTTTAGTTCTACGTGACATTCTAACTGTGAATATCATACTACTGTTTGCTTTTACTGCAATAAAATACACATATTTGTATTCAACGATGTCTCACGTGTAAAACAGTATCCCCTACGTACATGTTTTATGGTGTTTTGGGAAATTACAGGGTCAAATATAGCATGTTACATTTTTCAGTTTTTTCACATTGAAATTCGCCAGATTGGTTACATTGCCTTTGAAACTGTATGGTAGCCCAGGAATGAAAATTACCCCCATGATGGCATACCAGTTGCAGAAGTAGACAACCCAAGGTATTGCAAATGGGGTATGTCCAGGCTTTTTTAGTAGCCACTTGGTCACAAACACTGTGAAAAATGCAAAAAACTATTTTGAATGCCAATATTGGCCAGAGTTTGTGACTAATTGGCTAAAAAAAGACTGGACATACCCCATTTGCAATACCTTGCATTGACTACTTTTGCAAATGGTATGCCATCCTGGGGGTAATTCACATTCCTGGGCTACCAAAGGCAACGTAACCAATCTGGCGAATTTCAATGGGAAAAAACTGAAACGCCTTAGATTTGACTCTGTAACTTTTGAAACCACCATAAAACCTGTACATGAGGGGTACTGTTATACTCAGGAGACTTCACTGAACACAAATATTAGTGTTTCAAAATGGTAAAATGTATCACAACAATTATATCGTCCGTGTAAGTGCCATTTGTGTGTGAAAAATGCAAAAAATTTCACTTTCACTGACGATATCATCATTTTAATACATTTTACTGTTTTGAAATACTAATATCTGTGTTCAGCAAAGTCTTCTGAGTAAAACAGTACCCCCCATGTACAGGTTTTATGGTGTCTTGGAAGGTTACAGGGTTAAATATAGTGCTAGCAAATTAAATTCCCTGGACTTTCGGCCTGGGATGTCAGGCAGGTCACGCAAATTGTAATTAATAAACTGACCTAATTATGTAAAATTATTACATAATATATATGTAGCAGTATTATATATATATATATATATATATATATATATATATATATATATATATATATATATATATATATATATATACATATATATACACACGTGTGTGTGTATATATATATATATATATATAAATGTATATATATATATATGTGTATATATATATATATATATAATTTTACATTTTCATTTATATATAGCTATATATATATATATAGTGATATATACGTATATACTTATGTATATAGATATATATATTATTTCGTTCTAAATGTATTTTGATATCAATATATATATATATAAATTTTAAAATACAGTTAGAACGAAATTACACATATATATTTTTATTTTTTATTATTTTTTTAATTTAATTTTTTTACGTATTTACATATATATTTTATATAAATATATATAATGATAATTATATATATTTAATCAATATCATTGTACGTGTATTTTGATATTAATATATATAAATATTAAAATACACTTAGACAGTGTATGTGTATGTATGTGTATGTATATACTTAGATCATATATATAATATATATGATCTAAGTATATATTATTTATTTTTACACTGTTTTAACGTTTATTTTATTTTTTTCAGGCAGCAGGGGGAGTACCTGTCATTACAGGCACTCCCCCTGCTGGCACTGCCTTGGACAGCTATGCCATCTATGTGATCGCGAGGTCCTCGCAAGGACCTTGCGATCACATGGCCCAGGGGATTCCCCATACCATTCCCCATACCATACCGGGTAAGTACATATGACGGCGGGGACATGCAATGCTGCCCCCTGGTGTTTAGAGCCAGGTCCCTAAGGACGGCATAGCACGTCCTTCGTCCTTAAGGGGTTAAAGTACAGCCTGTCTTTCTCTCTATCTACTTAGCTATCTATCTAACTATATATCCATATATAGAATAAATAAACAGTACTACTATTTTCTGTTCAACCTACAGTATTAGAAATTGAAATAATGCAAAAAGATTCTGAATTTCTTACACTCTTTTTAGATATCGGTATTGGTGATCTGATTCCTGTGGAAGTAAACCATCTCAACATTTGCAAACCAAAAAACAAAGACTCTATTATCTATCGACAGACATTGCAGTTTATCATCGATAGAACCTTCACTGGAAAAAAATGAGCCTGCAGTTTGTATGTGCTAAGTGATACTAATGGTACATCTACAAAATAAACCATAGAACAGGCTGTTCATTTTTTTATTTATTTTTTGTCAGTAGTAATCCCTGGCTGTCCCAGAGCTTGAACTCCTATGAAGCTTTCTCAGTCCTTGGGCTAGAAAAGCATTGTTATATTCATATTTCTATGAAGGCTGGTCATGTGTCCTTTGACCACTTGTTGTACACTATGGATAACACTGGCTTTTAAACATGCAATGTGACTATACTATTGAACCTTTGGATCTTATTATGCCACTAGCATTAGTTGTATTTGATAGGTCAGTTTGCAACACTGTGATGCTAGGAGTCTTGAACATAATTGCCCAATTAAAATACTTGCAACAAACTACTTGTATCATGTAATAAAACCAAAACAGTGAGTGAGCGCTAAATAACACAGATTAGCAGCAACCCTATAAGGGAATCCCTCAAAAACCCTTAGAATAAAACACAGAAAAGTAAAAAAATACAAGAAAAGGGCTGCGCTTGGATAAAACTTTAAATAATACTAAAAGTCCGGATAAAATCAATGGGTAAAAAGAGAAGGTCTTATCTGGCAATGTCCGTGGTGCTTGGTCCGAAACAATAATCTTGCTTTCTATCTTCCTTATGAGCTGTCTCATATGCAAGAGATAAAAACAAATACAAAGCCAAAATGGTGTAATATATCTTGAAAAAAGGAAGTTGAAATGTAAAACTTGATTGCAAACTCACATTTAAAAGAGCTAGAACCTGCTCTGGTATAGAGGGCGTACAGCGGTTTAGATCCCCGCTTATGGGATATGGAATGACTTTCCTTCGCGTACTTCCTGCTTCCGTAATATGGGAGATACTCAAATAAAAAGAGACAACCAATAGTGTTCTCTGCGTAAAACTTAGAATAAAATATAAAATAAAAGTGGATACTCACAAGACAGGAGCAGGTCAACTGCTCCTGATAGTTCGCGTTGGTGGTATAATCCCCACCTAGGATTACTTGGAGTCCAGCGGATAAAAAGGAATGATGCCAGGTAATAATAATAAATATATGTGTTTAAAAAGATAAGTGGTACGATAAAAGATTACCAAATATACTTTAATATTTAAAATTACACAATATAAAAACCTTAATATGGTTTTTATATTGTGTAATTTTAAATATTAAAGTATATTTGGTAATCTTTTAACCATAATATGGTTTTTATATTGTGTAATTTTAAATATTAAAGTATATTTGGTAATCTTTTAACCATAATATGGTTTTTATATTGTGTAATTTTAAATATTAAAGTATATTTGGTAATCTTTTATCGTACCACTTATCTTTTTAAACACATATATTTATTATTATTACCTGGCATCATTCCTTTTTATCCGCTGGACTCCAAGTAATCCTAGGTGGGGATTATACCACCAACGCGAACTATCAGGAGCAGTTGACCTGCTCCTGTCTTGTGAGTATCCACTTTTATTTTATATTTTATTCTAAGTTTTACGCAGAGAACACTATTGGTTGTCTCTTTTTATTTGAGTATCTCCCATATTACGGAAGGAGGAAGTACGCGAAGGAAAGTCATTCCATATCCCATAAGCGGGGATCTAAACCGCTGCACGCCCTCTATACCAGAGCAGGTTCTAGCTCTTTTAAATGTGAGTTTGCAATCAAGTTTTACATTTCAACTTCCTTTTTTCAAGATATATTACACCATTTTGGCTTTGTATTTGTTTTTATCTCTTGCATATGAGACAGCTCATAAGGAAGATAGAAAGCAAGATTATTGTTTCGGACCAAGCACCACGGACATTGCCAGATAAGACCTTCTCTTTTTAGCCATTGATTTTATCTGGACTTTTAGTATTATTCTTGTATTTTTTTACTTTTTTGTATCATGTAATGGCATCTTATATAGTGTCAAAATCAGAGTATTCGTAGTGATCAGCTATTATGTAACAGATGTTAATTATTGACATAGTCAAGTTATAACGCTTAAAGTCATATTGCTGCTACGATAATGAATGCATGTTTACACAATAAAACTCATATGATTCCCTCACAGGAGAGAATGTGTTATATAACCAGAGCCATAATGAAAATACATTGGTGTGATCTGTTCAGAAAATTTATATAAAAAATAAACTTTTGTGACATATTTTTGGAATAAAGTCATTCCGTTGGCTGAATTTTATTTTTGTCTCTAATTATAATAATGGTTTAGCTATGCTAAGATTTGTCTCACAGTATTTGACCAGTAGTAGGCCGATTTTTGGATGAGTTACTGAATTTTTAGAAAAGGGATGAGTCAGAGTTGTATTACTTATTATTATTGCTCTAGCCTGGACACTTACACTAATTTTAACTTTAGAACAGTATTGATGCAGAATTTTATAATTTAAAAAAGGCACTGTTAGAAATGCAGTCACAAGATGTGACCTAGTAAACATGATGATGAATCAACTTTGGATGATGAATCAAATTTGGATACCTAACTTGAGTCCTGCAAATCAATCCTGTTGTGGAGACTGCAGTCAGGAGTAAAGGTGACGTTGGACAGCCTCCCAAAAATTCCAGACAAGGCACCCAGAGGTGATATACTTACAACAGATCTTGTGAGTGCATTTCTAACAGCGTATGTTTTTATTTACTGTATTACACTATGCTGGCATTTTTTTTTCCTTTATCATCTTTATTAAAGAATTTTATCTTTTTTTATGACATATAAAACATAAGACAATACATTAGACATATTAGACATAATAACCCATATATTCTGATGTTGCATATTTCTATCAAGATTTATGTGCTTCTAAACATATACATGTACAAATGTCCGATACCTGTGCAGTTATGCAGCCATTTGTAATTGATAGCTTACAATTTCAAACACATTAAAAAAACACTTTACATCACAATACATAGCCAAACAAGTCATAACATACCAACTTCCTATGCAGTGCCAAAAGAGGGAGGACAGTTACCTTTATTCAAACAATCAGAAATTACTGGCTTTTTAGACATGAATTAGATTTTTCTTCTTTTTACTCATCGTGTCCAGTGATTACACACATATATATATATATATATATATATATATATATATATATATATATATATATATATAATATCTTAAAGGTTTTACAAACCATATATTACTTTACCTTTCATGTTCTTTAAGATGTTACTGTTAATATTTTAACTATATTTAGTTGATAGAATATTTAACTTTTCCAAGCTGATATCCCAGGGAGATGTTTTTATATAGGTTTTTACACTTTGTTTGCTAAACAGTTGCTCCAACTTGATCTGGAATTCAAATTGTTTTTTGACTAATTGCCAATAAATATTATTATTTTCATTTTTCCAGTGTCTCGAAAATCACTAATTTAGTGGCCAAACATAGGTGTATTATAATCAGTTTGTTTACAAGGGACATAGGGGGCCAATTAAAGTGAAGTAAAGCCACTTCTGGAACTTTCTTTATTTTGTAATTTAAAATTGTAGAGATAAACTGCTAAGTTTTATCCCATAAGTCTTAGCACATATCCCACCATACATGTAGATATGTGCCAATTGTTGTTCGGCATCTCCAGCGAAGAGAATCCTCATTTGGGAACATTTTGTTAATTCTCTCTGGAACTAAGTGCCACCTATTAAGTATGTTACGGTACCTTCAGCATGAAATGTACAAACCGCCGTTTAGTGAATGCTCCCCGTTCGCAATAATGTTGTCTGTAAGCGTGTCCAATACAACCATGCGAACCGCCAGCCAGGGAACACTCCAACCTCCAGAACGGTATCCGTACGGCTCCTTCCCTTCACGAGCCACAAGCTCACGAACTGCCAGTATCAGCCGAACGCCAATACCTTCCAAGCGGCAAATAATTCCAAATAGCAGTCTCTAGTCGCCGGTAATAAAATTCCCCCCAATAACGAGACCAAGCTCCGCAGTGAGGGTAAAACACGAACTGAGTTTACTGTGGGCTACCCGCCCGTATTTATGCAGGTCTCCCACTTGGTGGACACTCCCCTAGGGGACCAAATGGGAGACTGGAATAGCAGATGGACATGGGGACATTTCAGACATACAATCACACAATATTCCCAGCATACATCACAGTTTCCTCCCCTCTGCCTGGGAGACAATTGAGAAGTAATTCAATTATCTCCCAGAGCAGAGGCAAATCGCCATTTTAAATACAAGTCACAAAACACATAAAAATACATAACTTTATACCTGCCGAACGTTTCTCATTCGTGTAACACATCCCCAGATAGCCTGGATCTGAGTGCATATTATTGGCGAATAGCGCTCAGATCCCATACGCATAGTTCAATCGCCATGGAGTCAAAGTCTATTACAGTTCTTCGGTATGCGATTGACTCCATGGGAAGGCTATCTGGGGTAAGTCCATTTGTGCCTTTACATCTCCCGAACGTCCGGTCTTCGCACACTTTTGTCGATTGAGAAGGGAGGTCGACGGCATCACCGGTGTTCGGTTGAAAAAGTGTCCGTTTTCAGTTCCATGAATTTAGTACCGAACACCGCTGGTCTTTCGCATGGTTTAAAATGGCCGCCGCCTCGTGGTCGACATACGAACGACGACCACCCTGTATTCGGTTTTAATTGAGAAGTGTCTGTGGTTAACCGCAACGTTCTAATTGGGATCAATAGGTTAACCAGCAGCACACTTCTCTTCTGGGTGGCCATCCGGTCGACAGTGTTGTTTGGTAAAAAAGTAAATTCACCTAAATCCAGGCATACGAATGGGTGAGTTCGTGAAACAAGCAAACAGACGAACACAGCAATCTTAGTTCATACGGATGGGTCTGTCACACGGCTCCACCCTTGTGGAACACTCCGGCAGACCCGGCTTGATCCTTTGGCGGGTCAACTTGGGGATGACCAGACTAGGAAGAAGTAGGGATGTCTGTTTGCCGGGACAACCCATCCGCATTCCCATTCTGCTTACCGGGTCGGTAGCTGATGGTGAAGTTGTAAGGCTGCAGTGCCAAACTCCACCTCAGCAGTCTGCCATTGTCTCCTGAGACCCGGTTAAGCCAGACAAGGTGATTGTGGTCCGTGATGAGGGAAAATTCTTGTCTGTATAAATAAGGGCTCAACTTCTTCAGTGCCCAGACCAGGGCTAAACACACTTTCTCCACTGCCGCATAGCTCACTTCCCGAGGTAGTAACTTTCTGCTGAGATATACGACAGGGTGCTCTCCTCCATCTTCCCCGACCTGGCTCAGCACAGCCCCCACATCCTACCCTGTGACCCAAGTACTGCACTTCTGCCATGCCTAGATGGCACTTGTCTGGTTTCAAGGTCAGGCTCGCGGCCCGAATCTTGTCCAGCACCACCCCCACGTGTACTAAGTGTTCTTCCCAAGACTCACTGTAGACCGCAATGTCATCCAGGTATGCACATCCAAATTCCTGGAAGCCATCGAGGAGCCTATCCACCATACGCTGGAAGGTAGCCGGAGCATTCTTCATCCCAAATGGCATGACCTTAAACTGGTACAGGCCAAATGGGGTGACGAATGCCGACTTAGGGATAGCATCTTCGGCCAGGGGAATTTGCCAATAACCTTTACACAGGTCGATGGTAGTCAGGTAGCGCCCCCTGGCAATGCGGTCTAATAGTTCGTCTACCCAGGGCATCGGGTAGGCGTCAGTGGTGGTCCGCTCGTTGAGTCGCCTGTAGTCCACACAGAACCGGGTGGTCCCATCCTTCTTAGGCACCAGGACTACAGGGGAGGCCCAAGGGCTGTCTGAGTGCTCGATGACACCCAGCCTGGTCATCTCCTGTATCTCCTTCTGCATTCCTTCTCGGACTGCTTCAGGGATACGATAGGGGGGCTGTCGTAGGGGACTCTGTCTGGGGGTCTCTACAGCTAGGATAGTGTACCCGGTTTCTTGGGAGAACGTCGCCTGCTTCTTCCATAGAAGCTGTCTTGCCTGTACCTTCTCTGCGGGGTTTAACCGGTCCCCTAGCTGCACAAGACTAGTAAGGTCAGTCTGGGGATCCTTCTCTAATAAGTCGGGTAAGGGTAAATTCTTGGGGTCGTTGGCAGCCGGGGCACATACTGCCGCAACATCCTCTGGTCTCTCCTGATACTCCTTCAGCATGTTCACATGAAAGGATCGCTGAATCCTTTCATCTGCACAGCTGGCTATAAGATAGGTAGTATCACATACCTGGGCTAACACTTTATACGGGCCCTGCCAAGATGCTTGCATCTTGTTCGTCTTCACCGGCTTGAGCACCAGAACCTTCTGCCCAACCTGGAAGACCCGCTGTTGGGCACGCCGATCGTACCACCTCTTCTGTCTCCCCTGGGCCGCCTGGAGATTCTCCCTTACCATCAGGGATAGTTTCTCCATGCGGTCCCGGAGTTCCAGGACATATGGTACTATGGGAGTCCCTTCTTGCTCCGTCTCCCCCTCCCAGTGCCCTCTGAGACCCAGGGGTCCGCAGACCCTTCTCCCATAGAGTAACTCAAAGGGGGAGAACCCAATAGATTCCTGGGGCACCTCTCTGTATGCAAATAGCAGATGAGGCAGGAATCGCTCCCAGTCTCTGCAAGTGTCAGTAAAGGTCCTCAACATCTGTTTGAGGGTACCATTAAATCGCTCGCAGAGACCGTTAGTCTGTGGATGATAAGGTGAGCTAAGCAGCGGTTTAATGCCGCACACCTTCCACAGCTGCTGGGTAAGCACAGCGATGAACTGAGTTCCCTGGTCGGAGAGGATCTCGTGAGGGAACCCGACCCTAGTGAAAATTTTAACCAGGGCATCAGCAACCGTCTCTGCCTCTGTATTAGACAGCGCTACTGCCTCTGGTGATTCTATGAGCTGTGCGGCGGGAGCCTAGATGGCCTGCTAACGGCACTTCATGCCCAATCCGCAGAATCTCTTGCCGGTATTTTGCAGGCACCACTAGCTGTCGATTCTGCCGAGGGGTACTCGGTTTCTGGGACGGTTTAGGGATCCTGTACAGCCTATCCCCCACCCACTCGTAATGCTCCCCCAGAATCGGCCCTGGCTCGGTACTTCGCTAACGTCGGGTCTTCCCTAGTTTCCTTCCCCACATCTCGGGGGTATCCCAGCCTAAAAGGGCCTGGTCTAAGGTACAAGTCGGGGTAGAGAGTCTTACCTGGGTCTCAGCAGCAGGTGGGCCGGTCTCGGCAGCATGGGTCTGGGCACAGGTCATGACAGCGTCCACTTCAGCGGGACCCATGGGAGCGAAGGCATTGCCAAGTAGGACATACGCTGGTAAATCCTTCATGAC